CCCAAAAAAGCATTTTTGCTCAATATTCCCCAATAAACAGCATGGAGGAACCATGCTATCTCCCTCACTTCTCAAACCTGGGTCAGTGTTACATATCACTGCATATTTCATACAATCATGTGACATCTACAATCAGTTCAATTCATAGGTTTCCTCACAATCAGGATGAGAAACCTTCCTCATCGGCGTCTCCTGAATAACAATTACTGAGATGAAATTGTGTCTGTCTGAAATTGCACTCACTCTTACAACAAAGAGTGGATTGAAGATAGATGTGGAATAACAACTGAATAATAAAAAGTACTTTTCCAACAGGTAATCAAGGAAGGCAAACACTAACAAACTCATTTGTTCCTTATAGGAGGGTCTCCCTCATGCAGGAGATGCATTTTGTGTGGAGATGAACGACAGACCTATGAAATTTACCCACAGCTAAAAGACTGAAGTTGAAGACTGACATGAACTTTACGGATTCCACGATGACAAGGATGACATTTTTCACATTGGACAGAACTGACAGAGTGAGCTCTTATTATAGAGTCTCTTATAAGTGCCATCCTATAACTCATCGTTGACGTAAAAAATATGACTAAATAAAAAAAAAAAGAAATGCAGCATTTCGAACAGAGTCAGTAACAACAAAATCATTTTAGAATTATAAGAAAATAATGGTTATTTAAAATCAGATTTGAAATTTTGAACAAGAATAATTTTAGCCTTGAACGTGAGGGAAAAATGTGCAATTTGAAAAATGAACTTTTGGTTATGTGGTAAACAAAATCACTACAAAACTGGGAAAATCCACATTTTTAGTTAACAAATATCTGTATTTCAAAACATTAGAGTGTGACAGATGAATAAAATTACTTAGGCAAGAAAAATCAGAATCTTTCTTTAAATATTGTGAAAGAAGTAAATGAGCTACTGCTTCTGGCTGATGTTCCTGAACTAAAAATCAACCAATGTGGAAACATGTCTTACATTTCAGGGAATAAGGTTGCTCTCTTTCTGGTGCAAGGGGGTCGAGGGCCCAATGAAACCCCTGCAGCCCAGTTTCAGTCAGACTGGAGCTTTTGTTGCATCCTGCAGCTTGTCAACGTGAGTAAATGAGTGTGAAAATAACCAGGAATAACTGATTTTATTGTGGCGAGTCTTTGATGGGTTTGAAAAACGTTACAATAAGTTTAACGTCACTTCATAGTTAATAGATGTAGTCATTTATTTTTCTTATTTTCAAACAACGTAGAAATGGCATATGTTTTGTTCATAATCAAAATATGGACAAGTCTAAGGAAACTTACAGACTGGTCGTCTATTTGCATAGATTTCAGTCCTCAAGTCATCTTTGATTAGACAGAAAATCTTTAAAAAAAAAAAAAAGAAAGAAAGAAAAGTACTGCCATGCATGTGGTGTAAATAGATGAATCTTTTACATTGCTTTAAACAATGAGCCTCCCAAAACCTGAGAGTTGGAGGGAGCCGGATGTGCCGACCTCTGCACAATCGAAACCCGATTCTTCCTCATGGACAGACGCTCCAGAGTACCACCTAGAAGGCATCTGCAAAATATAATGTGGCTTTGTATTCTTCTTGCTTCTTCTTTGCTGAGTAGGCGTCCAACTCGTGCCGGAGCCAGACTTTAACTCCCAGCAGCTTTAGCCAGTATCTTCACTTGTATTCCATTTTATTCTTGGGTTGAAACACACTAAAACACTTTCACCTTTGCCACCCAGACCCCATCTTTCTCCTGGACGGTGCGGTGGTTGTGCGTCCTGTGGTGTTTATGCAAATCTTTTAAACGGGCGAGCACGGCACCGTCAGGGCATCTGGAAATGCCATGAGAGGATGAACTCGGCTCATCGAAAATGCTCTTCCTGACACCTCGGCTGAATTTGTGTCATTTGTCTGTGATGTTTGGCACGGAGGCTGAGTCCGATGAAGTCCGGCGTCGTGGCTCAACCTATCAGGGGCTGAGGAAAAATGCTCATCTGGACATTTCCAAGCTGTTAAAGTCTCAGTGTTGTTCCAAATCGAAAAAGTGGGAAAAAAAATATTCCGTAAGGAAGCAGCTGAGTCATTATTCTGGAATTTCACAAATATACGTAAATAATTTAAATTAATCTCACTTAATATTAGACAGTGAGGGGGAAAAATGTCTTTTTTCATCATGTATGTAAATATTACACTATTGTATTTTCACTGTCCTACAGTGATTTGGTTGAAGCTTATACTGCACCTCCAAACTCTTCTAAGACTGTTGTAAACTAGACTTTACACAGGAAAGATCTGGCAGATTCTTAGTTGGAATTCAGCCTTCGTTTTGGTTATTATGTTCCTTTTTATAGACGAAGGACATCAGAGACAGCTCTTTATCTGTTTCCAATGGAGGCCGGACTCCACGGTGGGATTTCAGGCATTGCTCCATTTTATTCGATATGTGTCTTCAAATGTGTTTTTTTTTTTTAACAAGAGAGAGAGACAGAGAGAGAGATGTTCATTCTGGAAACACCAGATCCTTCCTCATTTTCTCTGAGATTTGACTCAATTGAAACTACTTCTTTTGTGTTTAATGTCAGCACAGACTAAAACTACGCCAACGCTGCTACGATTCCATCTCAGACTTGCATAAAATGTTCTCATGTAGGCTGCAAACAATCACTTCTGTTCTGTCATAAATGAAGCTTCAGCCTTAATTAATCCTTTAGTATCACCCACATTTCATAGCTTTTTTTTTTTTTTTTTTAGCAAAGAATTCAGCTGAAAATCCTGTTGGAACAAATGCTTTTCAGGGTCTTTTCCCATTTTCTCATTTAATTATTCAATAAGATAAGCAATTTTTGAGAGGGAAGAATAGTGAAGAGATTGTAGGGGGTTTTTTTTTTCCTCTTTCAGGCCCAAAATACGACATCTGAAAAATTCCAGTGTTTTTGTTGCATTGTGGTGCTTTAAGGTGCTGGACTGGCAGGGAAGAAGAGGATCTTTCGTCACTAGAGCTTGTTGCCATGTTGTTCCTCAGATTCTCTGCAGAACCCAAACCCTTTCCAAACAGATAATAATGACAGGACTGGGTGTGCACTTTCACAGTCCCCTCACAAGACCTGAGCCCGACGGGACCATGTGACGGGAGGAAATGTGTTGGTGGTCTGCAGCACTGGCAGCCTTCATGCATACACACATGGATACACACATTCAGGATCCTAACCCCCTTCCCCCAACATCCTGCTAATTGGGGTAAAAAAAAAAAAAGAAAAAGAAAATAGGTGGGGGTAGAGAGTGTGATGGTGACATCTCTTCTTCTTCTTCTTTTTTTTTTTTTTTTTTTACATAAAAAACCCCCAAATGTTCCAAACATATAAAAAGAGCCTCCATATCCTCTGTTACTTGACCATCCCCTGTGTCTAAGATTCATTTGTGAAAAGACACTAATCCGAAACTTTTATTGTATATTATCTCCTCAATCCAATTTGTGTCCCGGTTTCGTGCTATTCTGTGCTGCAGTAAATTCTTTTCAGCGTTGCAGAGTTAGAGTCCAGCCGTTCCCACTGCAGACAGAAAGGAGACAAACAACTGCATGCTCTCTCCGTCAGATGCAGGTCCAGGTCACCTGTCCGCTAAAACATGGCCTCTCTTACAACATTTTATTACACTGCTATGATCACAAATAGTTGGTAAATGATGATACATTTCAATGCAGGCACTGAGGAGCCTTTTACAACTTTGATCATTTAACGATGCGTCACCTGAACTAATAATCATGTTCTCTCCGTGTCGTCCTAAAGGAAACGGAAACTCCTGAAGGTGAGCTTGAGAGACACAACCGGAACCTAATTATGCTTTTTTTTTTTTCTATCTTGAGCGTTCAGCTGATCGATTGATGACAGTGAAGATCCTTGAAAGCTGAATTTACAATTCAGTTTAAAAGTCTCCGTTTCTCAATGAGCATGTGTCCAACAAAAATAAACATATTTTTACAACTCACTTTCAGTGCTCACAAATTCTGTCCAATCACAAGTAGACTGAGTGGAAGTAAAATCCATGGATTTATTGTATGTGTGGGTGAGATTAATGCTGTTTGGTCATTTTATCTGCATAACGTTTCTGCTTCAACTAATGAAAAGACTGTGAGCGTTTGTTTGTTTGGGGGGGAGGGAATGAAATTAGGAGCAGGAGGTTCACAACAAATCAGCTGCTTCTCTTGATTCTTTTTGGGGATTTATTGCAATGATGAGGAATAAGAAATAAACATCATGGACCGTTCTTTATTCAAATGGAGATACTGGTTGTCAGGACATCGGGGGTGGGGAGGAACTACGGCGATTGGAAGGATTTAAAAAAGAGAAACGCCAAAAATTCCACTCAAATTGTCGCCTTGGCTTTTGCATTTTGGGAGATTTAAAATTAAAACCCTCACTGTTTTTGACAATTGGCCAATTTGCGCAGGTCTACGAGTGAGGAGACAAAGGCAGCGCTCGGCTGCACCTGCCCCATGTATGGAGGCCGTGGTGGTGTTTGTGTGTGGTGACTGTGGAGGTGGAGGAGGGAAGGATGGGTGTGTGGGTGTGTGTGTGTGTGTGTGTGGTGGGGGGGAGGCTGCAAAGCAATCTTTCTTACAAATCATTTGTAGAAATTCCAACTATTTCCTAATTCCAGTCTCTAATGGGAGTTTCTGCAGCCTTTCCCTCGCGAGAATCGTTTAATCTTTTGAACGCATGGCTGTTAAAAGTATTCCGGCGCCTCTGTGTCTGTTTGTGTTGTGACACTTTTTCCACCAATGTCTAAAGAAGTAAGAGTAATAATAATTTCTCTTCCAAAAGCCTCTTTAAATGTTCTAATGACTGTCACGTCTTGGTTCCTGGTACTTCGCGTTTTGCCTTTGACTCGTTGAATGGTGGTCTGTCTAATCTGACGACCTTTGACTCTCGGCCCCCCGAGCCTTTCGTCACTCACTCACTCACCGTTTCCTGATAGCAGCAATCACATCAGCACACCACGCTAAGAGCTTCGTCACGACGCTGCTTTATACGAGGTAAAAACAGTCATGAAATGCATCATAACATCATTGGCAGCGACACGTATGAAAGAAAAGACACTTTGTAGCCATTTACATTTCATATAGGCACATTTGTAAAACACGTTTCACAAATTTTAAGATATTTCACAACAACAGCACCGATAACCTTTAGATTGATTCATCAACCGCACTAAGACATTCATCCATACGTCACTTTCCCAACTATACAAATCGTCAATTAATTACAGATGTCAATATTTTTACAATAAAATAACAACTTTATGGTACAATTCTCAATCGGTGATTTTACACAACAGCAGTAGCATTCCTTCCCTTGTCTGAACTACAACTTTATTGTTTTTTTTGTTTGTTTTTTATCTTTTTTTTTCTTTTCAAATCAGGAGATGGAGAACCTTTGACTGCTTACGTTTCCTCCTCTTTGCTCCTCTCTGCACAGAACACACACCTGCATCAAACCCAGGGACACAGTGGGGGTAAAACAGCATTTACAAAAACAAAAGGGGGAAATGATCATCTTTTAGGTCTACTTCATTTTGGTGGCAAAAACAAAACAAAAAAAAAAAATTCAACAGTGAAGGGGACGCTGTTGGAATCTTCACAAAACAACCGAAAAATCAGTGAGCGTTCCACATGATCACATCGTCTCTAAAGCCGATGGCTTGCGAGTTTGAGACTGGCCGTGCAGCAGCTTTCACTCGGAGGCGCTTTCCTCCTCCCTCAGAAACTCCCGTTTTATTCACTCATGCCGCCGCGAACAGGTTCTAAACGCTCTGATGGGCTCACTAGATCACACAAGCTGCTGCTGCCCGGCTTTTTCTGCCCTGCGTCTTCTCGCCGCGACGTGCTGCATCGAACCAACAATTCCAGCGGATGAAACGCAGTTTAGATAGGTGCCAATTACCTTAAATATTCTACCGCCTGCCTGAGACGTTGCTGCTGTGCAGCGGCGTAAAGCGCTGGCTTTAACTGGCCTGGACCTTTTATGCTTCAGACTGGCTGTGTTAAGTCAGAATGTGTGGCATTTCTTTAACCCAAAAAAAAAATTTAAAAAAAAGATTTTTGCGTCCAACTCAGCTTGCCTTTCAGTTTCCGTACAAACATTTGAGTGAAGATTTGTGCAAAGTCCTTTCACTGACATCCGTTTTTTGTTTGACGAGCGATTGCTGTTTGTTTTCTTGGTTCCTCCTTCGCTCCTTGTACAAGGTGCCAGATGTGCAGAAATACATAAGCTTGTTAGAGCAGGCGACAATGACAAATGACAGACACTTGGTCAAACCAAACAAAGATAGGAACAGCTAATAAAACTAATGAAACGCTTCCAGAAGCAAACAGGAATCCGTACAACCGCAAAACCACAAACCATCATTCCAGAGTCTTCTTGTCCATGGATTCTTTGCCATTGGTCCGCGAGTAAGGTTCAAAGGCAGAGGAGCTCAGGTAGCGTGCAGAAAGCTCCTGCAGGTTGCCTGCCAGCGAGCCGGCCATAGAGAGGGGATTGGACGAAATGCGGGTGGCCACACCACTGAGGATGGACGGCATTGGGAAACTGAAAAAGCCGTGAGCGGACGGCGGGCTCTGCAACCCCGCCACCGTCCCTGACGAGGTGACGGCAGGCAGCGGAGGGCTGCCTCCGGCCGTCCCGGTGCTGCCTCCGCTGCTGCTTCTGCTGCTGCTGCTGCTGCTGTTGTTGGCCATGGCGATGGAGGGGGGGCGCAGGGCAGAGCCACAGTGGGGCAGGAGGCCCGGCAGGCCCGGAGGAGTCAGCAGCCGCCCCTGCTCCAGCAGTCTGAGCACGCTGCAGGTGGCGGCCGTCTCCGAAACCACCGAGCGCAACTCCGAGTCCTTTCCCTGGTCCTTCTTCTGCTTTGTGCGGCGGTTCTGAAACCACACTTTTACCTGGAAGAGAACACGAAGGGAGAGCAGTCAGAAACACGCCATTGCAGATGGCAGATGGCATGTTGGTGACTTTCCAGCAAGACGCCCCAGAAGTGTTCACACTCAGGACGGCTGTACTCCGATGTCACAGTCTGAGCGTCTTCAAGGATGTAGATGTTTTACTGATCAGTGTGTTCAGTTCAACACGCTATACTTTATTTGTATTTCTCCACCATTACATTCCGCAAAGAGCCTTCAAGTTCTCACTAATGTACGTAATAATAGTTACGCACAAATGCAGGCCTTTCCAAACATCGGAGGTAAAAACAAACCAGTAGGAATTGACCTGATTCCCTCCCAGAGGTAGAAAACCTATTGTAGGAAATTAATTCAATCAAAACTTGCCTAGAGATGTCCTTTCACATGCTAACCACCTCTTAATTTGATCAGCCAGAAATACAACAAAGGTTTACGCGTGGCTTGAGATCCAAACTCCCCGTCAGCCCGTGATAACACACACACACACGCACACACACACACACACACACACACACACACACACACACACACACACACACACACACACGCACACACACACACACACACACGCACACTCCCTTCTTTTCTGGGGGGAGGAGGCACATTTACAGCTTAAGCAGTTCATCCAAATGTCTGCAGTTAGAAGCTCCGACAAGGTGGCTACACTTTTTAGTATTACGTGAATGCTGAAATGTATGACATGGGGAAATTAAAATCAGTGTTTTCAGCTTAATAAGTAACGATAGCTCTTAACTGGTGATGTTCAAGAGGTCATTTTGGTCATTTTACATGTCTTTCTTAATTTTGAGTGCATTCAATTCTATGCAGCACATTTACAGCACATTCAGAAACCTGGTATTTAGGATTTGTTTTTTAAATGTTGTTATATTTAATCAGGAAAACATGTGACATGTTATATCTGTATTTATGCATTTCTGAAACACATTCAAACTTTTGCTTGAATTGGTCAAATTGAATTGGTAACTGATCAGTCAGATTTAGGTCTGTCTAAAATGTGCACAGTTCAGTGTTAAGCGTATCAGAGTGAAACAAACGCTGCATTTTAATTAATTAATATTTTGATCTGGTGCAAAAAAAAGACAAAAAAACCCCCCAAAAAAACAAGAAAATACAGGCAACTAACAACAACCACATGGCACGACAACCCCACTTATCCAATCACACTGGAATATTTTCCACTTCTCTTCAGATGTGGCTTAACTCTTCACAGGCTGTGGGGGAACCAGAGGGGAGATGTAGAAACCACTCAGAAGATGCTCAGTGGCAAAAGGAGAAAAGACACGGTGTAGCCGGTAGGTTCACGCACAGATAATTAAGTGTGTACAGGAAATGGCCGTCATTCCTCCATTATAATGGCCTCTCAGCGCCAAAGAACAAAACGCTAATTTTGCCACCTTGTTATTAAAAGGCGTCTCGTCGGGACAAGAAGCAGATGCTGAGAGAACATCCCGGCTTTGTCCTGTCTAAATTGGGAGCAAAGGTGTTTTTTTTTTTCCTTCCTTTTTGCCTTTTGTGAGCAAAAATAACCGTCTTTACTCTCCACGCTTATCTAGAATATGTCTGCTAAATGAAAAATAGGAAATGTTAAAAATAAAAAAAAGTTTGAGGAAACAGTTGAAAGTTCACCCTGCCGGGGTTGTTAATGAGGGTTGATTGTTTGCTGTCGCCTGTTGTTTTGGTAGAATAGGCTGACCTTACGCAGACCTTCTCTCAAGGTCAGGCGTCTTCAGTTCTGCTGAAACACATTAACCCCAAAGGCCAAGCCACTGATTACGGCGCTGTTAGCAGCTTTCAGCGTTCATCGCAACAAAAGAGTTTAATGAAATACAAAAATAACAAATACAAAAAAAAAACACCAAATAATTACAAATGTTTTATCACTTAAAAAAACAAAAAAAACAAACCTTGACAAAGTCGCCTACGTTGCGCAGAATCAACAGATAATAGCGGTGATGAAGTCAGTGCTCTTCACCTACAATTAATACCGAGTTAGATGCTGCTGTCGACTGAGTGCAAAGTTTTACATGACTGTAGTCTCTTTTAAAACCTTGACTTCTTTTTTTTTTTTTTGCAGCAAGAAACATTAACAACAAACTGCATAACGGCATGAACAAAATGCTCCAACCCAAAATAGACACACCTGTCAAAAATACTGTAAGAAGGTGCAAAGCTGCAAATGTAACGTAACGTATGTGCTCAGTCGAGCCACCAGAAAGAGTTTGTTTTTGTTTTTAACACAAGGACACCAGGAATCTTATCCCATTACTACCAAACTGAATTTTAAATAACCTATCTTCATAGCACAAAATAATTGCACATTACAGGAAGAGAGCTCCTGGAAGGGCAAATATAGTTTCTGTGTGCTGTTTGGTGCAAAAAGATTCTTTTTAAAAACACACAAAGGTAAATAGCTTTTGTTAGGTGTTTGGATTTTCTCTCTCTCTCCAGTTTAACATTTCAAAACAAAGAAATGCAAGTGATAAGAAAAGAACCAAAAATTAAAAAAAAAACCAAAAGCAAACAAACCTGAGTTTCAGAGAGGTTGAGCTGACGGGCCAGTTCGGTCCGCTCCCTCCCGACCACATACTGACACCTCTGAAACTCCATCTCTAAGCGGTAGAGCTGCTCTGCAGTGAAGGAGGTGCGCGTTCGCTTCGGCCGGTCCAGATCCAAACCTTTTGGCAGGATGATTTCTCGGATAGAGCCTTTAGCATCTGCAACATGGAGAAATTTGAATCAACAAAAAGAACCCAGATAATCACTGATTTCAATTATTACTATTATTATTATTAAAACTACTACTAAAACTACACTGAATATAACTGAATAAAAGGTTTAATATGACGTAATTTGAGCCAATAACTAAGTCTTTCTAAATGCAGTTTTTGAATTGCAACTCTGGAATAAAGCATATAAAAACAATAAAACTACAAAGACCTGCTGCGCTTCAGATATATGTACAAAACAAAAGCAATGAGAAAAATAATTCCTACGTAAATGTTTACATTTTTGTAAAAATACCCTTCGATACTGTGATTAATATGGGTGCCGTAAAATACTATTAGATTTTCAGTGATACTTAAAAACATTCACATTTCTTCACTTCACGTGTGCTCCATATTTATTCACCAGTTTTTATTCATGATTAATAAATAAGGCGGACGTCTGCAAAAACTAAATACAGGGAACAAAATACTTTATTGATATTTTCGCCCTAAAATTAAAGCCTTTAATGGAAAATTCAAATAAATATTAGCCTGGTTAAAACTGCTTTCTGACCCACTGACGTTATTCAAGTTAAATGAAGAACAATTTCTTGACACTGAAAATATCTAAATATAAAGTATAAGAGAATATTTTAATGCATTTTATTATTCTTCAAATATTGGTTACAGTTTATTGAGATTTATCCTGCTGGAATTGAAACACACTACATTAAAAAAAAGTGAAAATTTTTTAATTTAATTTTATTCTGTAATTTAATCAGAATAAATTACATGGGATATTTTGAGTTAAATTATATCGACTAATGATCTCGATAAGACAAAAATGTTCCAGAACCTAAATAAATATTGTTTTATCATTTAAAGAAAACTCAGCCCATAAATCTGAAATTAGTTCAAGTATTCATCTAAATACATATTGATTTTTTTTAAATTAAATTAAATGAATCACTAAAGTTTCCCCTCAATTTTCTTTTATTTTTCTTCTTTCTTTGACTAATTTCTAATTTACTTAGTTTGCAAGTCACATTACTTTATTAACAGCTTTGGTTTATTTTGGTGATGATTTCAATTTCGGCATTTTTATTTATTTATTTATTTTTACTGTACTTTGGTTTTCAAAGTGTTAAAATAACACAGTGTCTTCAATCTAAACTGAGCCGACACACAGGACTATCGACGATCTAAAGAGAGAAAACGGCAAGTGTTACCTCGGACAAGGATTCTCCGACAGTAGTCGGGATCCCCCGCGTTCCCTCTGTTCTTCTCACAGTTGTCCATGTTCCCAGAAGGTGAAAAGGAATCCTGCTGTTCTTTAAGGAAGCCTTTGGATAGGTTGCCTTGGGAATCTTTACTGTCCTTTCCCTCCTTCAGTCTGTCCTTCAGCACCATTGCTTCTGTCTCTTGGTTGTACCTAACCTCCATGCTCGGATTATCCTCCTGGACCGGAGGCTCGCCTCCTTTTGTCAGGTTCAAAAAAGAAAAAAAACACACACAAAAAAAAGGACTTCAGTGGATGCGGTACTGTGAATTGTCACTGACCAAACTCCCTTATCCAATAATCATGGACTTCTTAGTGAAACTCAACGGTAATTTAGTGCCCCCCTCTCCTCGTTACATAGACGTCGGGCTGATAGATTATCTCCAAATAATCGTAGCGATGGATGCACACTCGCTGTTTCAACTGATTACAGTAATTTTGCTGCCTCCACATTAGTGTAACCTCATGAATACACTAAACTGTTGGTGGAAACAGATCAGGTCTTGATAGAGGGTTTTGCTCGTCCCGTCCCCTCGGTTTGCCCGTTCTCAGCCCATGGAATCAAGACAAATGACTGGCCTTGTCTTGCAAACCGCACAACCTTGGACACACACAATCACCGAGGTAAAAGTCTTCCAGAGCCGATAAAAGTTCCCAGGCACTTCATTCCTCCATCTGCAGAATGCAGGCAGACATTTTCCCCGCCGACTTCCTTCCAGCACACCTGATTGTCACAGCATGTCGGCAAACTTTGATCCCGTTTTTTCTTTTTTGGCAATCAGCGGAATCGTGCAATGTGTAAATCTCACCACTATGCCATTGGAGGAACTGGTAGAGAGCCAGAAGAGTGGAACGCGAGAAAGAGATGGAGGAGGTGGGGTGGGCAGAGAGGTAGAGACAGAGAGACAGACAGAGAGAGAGAGAGAGGAGATAAGTAAAAAGGATGACTAACAAATCCTCATTGAGCAAAATGTATAAAGGCGATGGCAATCCAACCTGTTCCTCCGCCACAGCAACGCCGGATTCCCCTGAAACTGGAACTGTATCAAACTTCCTCTTTTTCTTTCCCTGCCATGTGTTCAGTGAGAGAAAACCAGCAGCATCCTGTCAATGCCTCGCCCTGCAGTGTTCCTATAAGACTGCACCCCTGCAGCCGCACTCGGCTCTTATAATCTTAACCTGCATATTTTAAAGCAAAGAATGGAGGAACAAAACTTGTCATTAGTGCTTCGGCTGTCTCCACTCCCAGCTCACATGTATACCCCTGGAATGGCCCCTGCCTCTCTCTTCCACTCACCCTCCAGCCCACAAACCACTCACCCAACCACCAACTCTTAGCTATTTTCATTGTCAGTGCAACAATAACTCTGAACACAGCAGTGGCCAGTAATCCAATAAGACCATTGATTAGGCCACAATGATTCAATTCAAAGTGGTGGACTAGTGCAAGGAACGGTCTCTTGCCCTTCTTGTCACCTTAGCTGGCAAAAAGCCCTCTTCAAGCTGCACCCCTCCTTGAGTGCCATTCATTGCTTTATGGGAAACGGAGAGGAAAAAGAGTGAAAGATGGCAATTATCTAATTGGACTATTAACAAACAAATCTGTAGTGTGGCTGCCCGGCAGCAGTCTCAAGGTGGGTTTAAGGCCTGCTGGCCTAACTTTATTCACGCTCTGTTTTGGGGGTCTGGTGCGCGGCGTGGAGCAGGGTTCTTTGTTACGGAAAGGTAAAAAGAAAGCTAAATGGGGAGCGACTGAGGTAGAAGCGAGCTCCAGGCTGGGAAAAACAATGAAGACGCACCATCTTCTCCTGTAAGTGTTTCACAACGATTTAGAAGAAGAAAAAAAGAAAAACTCTACATCCCAAAAAGTCTTACACTTTGACAGCATAAAAAACACTGTTAGTATCTATTTATATTCTATAAACTAGAATATATTCTGATGAGAACCTTTGAAAAATACAACCTTTAAGCAGTTATTAATCCTACTTGTCATTGTATTTCAGTATTAAAAATGTTTAAGTTTTTTTTCATCACACTAATGTATAGACAATTGATTGATTGATTGTCTATACCCTCGTTACTTTACCTGGGTGCTGGTGCCAATGTGCCATGGTCATTGGGTTAGAGACAGGGTACACCCAGCAGCGGTCAGCTGATATAACAGTTTAATCTTTATTGTTGTGTTTTCGTTAGCTGTAGGCAGAAAATTATTCATATTTAGCGTAAGGATTTAAAACAATGTCAGTGTGTGTGTGACTATCCCATGTCATGAGCTTCATTTAGTGAACTGAGTTGTTGAAATAAATAAACTTTTCAATAATATCCTAATATATGGAATTGATCTGGTCAGCGTTCATATGCACTCATCAGCCACTTTATTAGGTACACCTGTTCAACTCCTCATTGACGCAAATGTCAGATCAGCAAATCACATGGCAGCAACTCAATGCATTCAGGCATGTGGACATGGCCAAGACGAGCTGCTGCAGCTCAGTGGGTATCAGAATGGGGAAGAAAGGTGACTGAACTTGGCACGAGTACTGGTCCCAGACAGGCTGGTCTGAGAATTTCAGAAACTGCTGATCTGCTGGGATTTTCTAGAGTCTCTGGGGTTTACAGAGAAAAAGAAAAAATGTCCTGTGAACGGCAACAGTACCTCCAATAACCACTTGCTACAACTGAGGTATGCAGTTGTAACAAGCGCACAGCATGTCAAAAACTTGAGGCGGATGGGCTACAGCAGCAGAAGACCACACCGGCTGCCACTCCTGTCAGCTAAGAATGGGAAACTGAGGCTACAATTCACACAGGCTCACCAAACATGGACAGCAGAAGCCTGGAAAAACATTGTCTGGTCTGATGAGTCTCAATTTCTGCTGCGACATTCGGATGATAGGGTCAGAATTTTGCCTCAACAAAATAAAAACATGATTCCATCCTGCCTTGTATCAACGGTTCAGGCTGCTGGTGGTGAAATGGTATGGGAGATATTTTCCTGGCACATGTTGGTACCATTATTACCGACTGAGCATCATGTCAATGCCACAGCTTCACTGTTGGACGGCTCTTTTGATCATTACTTTGAGCCATGTGTCAGACAACTTCCCATGGGTACTTGAGGGTACAATGTAAGACATTTGAGCCGTATTTAATTATGCCTTGTATCTTCTACCCTTTACATCCAAAAATGTAGCTCGTTATAGATTTTCAATCTCAATGTGTGTTTGTGAAAGATAAATGTACAGTGGTGAGTTGTGTTCACTTTTTATTGATTTTGTCAAAACCTCCAAGAGTTGAATAAATTATGATTTTTAGGTCCGCACTTAAAAAACTGAAAGAAGAAAAAGACAGGAGAGGGAACTATATCCCAGAATTTTTTTTTAAATATATATCTGGAGATGGAAGTGTGTTACATTAATCTGACTCTTGTGTGTTAAAGCGAATGTTTATTTTAATGCAATTCTCAGTTTACAAAGCTTGAGAATAATGTTCTGTTCACACTTTTTTTTTTCATCGCGATTTATTTATTTATTGTGTTTGGTATCAAGTTCTACTGTGTTTTTACCTCAGTTCAGGTCTTGTTTTTTGTCTACTCTCCGATAATGACCTGCATCATACCTTAGGAATGCTAAGGCGAGATAGCATGGCGCATATGACAGCAGAATAACTGTTTTCCTGGAACAAGTTGTTTCTAATCCATTAGCACATTGAGCATTACGTACACAAGGTTGATTGGCAGCACTGAGACCTTCCTCCTGGCTCTAACGGGTTGTTTTTTCTTCAGATGGCAATAGTTGCTCAGAAAAGAGATAGAGGATCTGAATCTTTTCACAGATTGTCTGTCTCATAACCTATTGTGACAACATGATGGCCTTTTTAACATGTAATAACATGTTTTAAAAAAGTTACATGCTGCACCTTCAAGGGTGATGTTTTACTGAGGTTACTGTGTGACTTTGCTGATCCCTGGAAGATCCAGTGAATTAATTTGTTGCTTTTGACAAGCAAATACTTTTGATTTTTATTATGAAGTAAGCTTACACGAAGAAGTGCTATTACTGAGCTCAAAGAAATGCTAAATGGCTTGAACTTCTATAGTGCTTTGTCAAGTCCAGAGGACCCCCAAGCGCTTTACACTACATTCTGTCATTCACCCATTCACGCACACACTCACACGTTGTAGCCACAGCTGCCCTGGGGCAGTCCGACAGAAAAAACTCACAGACCTCCACAAACTAAACAATTAAAGAATTGTCCCCAAGCTTACTGGCAACTTGTATGAAGGGCTTCGTTATGATTAATGTCTCTTCGTTATGAGAAAAAAAGTGAAAACTATAACGTTCCACTTATCTGCTTCTTGTGGTCCTGACACCATTGTGTTCAAACGTACGGAGCCCCAGAGGGGACATTCCCTCGCAATGAGTTTGCATCCCCTCTTAAAATGCTTTTGCATCACCTTGAAAAAGGACTGAATTCCCACGCGATACCTTTGCGTTCCCTCACAATGCTGTGCTAGTCGGTTCATGCGGCATCTCGAACATCTAAAGTATTTGTGCTGCATTGTGATGTTTTTTGTGAGGTATCTCGTTTTTGGGATGTCTGAATTTTTGTCTCTTTTTCTTCCTTTTAGAAATGCACCACAAACTTATGCGCCAAACGCAAAAGAAAAACGGGTCAAACGTGGGCGTTCCGTCTCTTTCCATCTCACAAACAGAAACTTTCTGCAAGAAGGCAAGTGAAAAAAAAGTCTAAAACTATTTGGCATTAACTATGCTTGAGTTATTTTCACAGGGTCATAATCCAGAATCTGACCGTGTCTGTTTTATGTTCAAATGGTTTATAAAGGATCGTTTTCATGCACAGTTCCATCTCAACTTTACATAAACAAGCATGAACATGCAGTGACAGTAACGGCCTTTTTCATATCAGTTTAGAGACGAGACTTAAGAATGGATAAGCATGCTTTCGCCGAGGCTCTTCCAATCTATCAGCAATTTGAAATTGATATTTGTTATCACAGCGACTGTGTGCAAAATACCCTGTGGTGCATTTGCTAATTTATTGCAAGGCAACGCAACATTTACTACAAGGGAATGCAATGTCCATGTCTCTAATGGGCATTTGTAAAAACTAACTGGATGAGGAAAAGAAACGGTTTTAGAACGAAAGCTTATTGGGATCCAGTTATTTTTGACTACC